AGTTCCAACTCCATTACTATTCATGAGATGGGTAGGCTAGGGGCGAGGGATTAGAGACTCCCTTGGTGCTTGTTGTGCCGTAGGCTCGGGCTCAGGCCTCGGGCTCTGGGACGCAAGCTGTCTGGCAAGGGTGGTCGGTCTATTATCATACTGGGACCCTTCTGTCCCACAGATGAACGCTTACTGACAGTGCCAGCTCATGGAAACAGTGTCCCTTTCTCAGGTTATTAACCTCCTTATACTCTTCCTGTTGCTTAAATGAAAAAAAGATCGATTGGAAGTTTCTCCCCTTTCCCTACTTCAAAGTTGAATCGTGTATTACTTTCGCCGCCTTCACCGTTAAGAGCAGGGATGGCAGCTATACGTCCTAAACCCTGTCAGCGCTTTGATCCTCAATTTTCCAAGTTTCAACCGTCTTTTTCTCTCTCTCTCTCTCTCCGTCCCCCCTCCAGGTGATGAGCATCCTGAGCAACCCCAGCGCTGTTCCCTCTCAGCCGCAGCACGACTTTTCCATTTCCCCCCTGCACGGCAGCCTGGAGAGCTCCAACCCAATCTCGGCCAGCTGTAGCCAGCGCTCCGACACCATCAAGAGCGTGGACAGCCTGGCTTCCTCCCAGTCGTACTGCCCCCCTACCTACAGCGCCACCAGCTACAGCGTGGATCCCGTCACTGCCGGCTACCAGTACAGCCAATACGGCCAGAGTGAGTCGCCTCATTTTTAAAGTATCTACAACTGAAGGCAGGAGAAACTCTTGACCTTTGCCCTCTAGATGTTGGAGGCAGACACGTGCTGTTGATAAAGACCCCCCCCCCCCCCACACACACACACACACACACACTTCCTCCCCCTTTTCTCTTTGCTTTACCACCTCCATCCTGATCCTGAGCTGCCTCAGTCACACCCCGCTCCAATTGGATGGGAAAGGGAAGAGGGCCACTTCAAAAGAGCAGCGCACCCTCAGGGGCCACAGTGTCCTCTTGCCCACCTCTATTCCTCTAGCTCCCCTCACACACAGACACACACACACACACACACACACACACACACACACACCCTCGGGCAAGGAAAGAGTTTGCCTTATTAGATTAGCATAATTGACTGATGCTGTCACAGCCGTTCACGAGAGGTAAAAGGAAGCACACTTCCTCAACGAGCTAGCCCGCTGACATTCGTTTGTATTTATGGTTCCAGTCAGCGCTTTGTGCATCGGGTGAGTCTCCCTTTTAAAAATAAATAAATAAACGTGCCCACGAGTGAATGGGAGCCCGTGCCAGTTAGGGTAAGTGCTCTGTCAACAGCAGGGAACTGATGGCAGTGCGGATGTGATCTGATGTGAGGTTAATTAAGACGCTGATTGAGCACAGTAGATGGGTAATGAATGGAGGAGAGAGGAAAGAGCTGCTGTCTGACGATGAAAATGATCGGCCATGTGGAGTGTGGAGGGCATGAAATCGGAGATGCCAGTAGTAATGAAGACTGGCACACAGAACACACACGAGGACCCCTGTGACTGACAGCACGGAGACTCCACCAGGATGCATGTGCTCGGTGCCAGCAGCATGCCAGCCTCAGACAAGTGACAGGGGAGGGGTGTATTTTTTATTATCTTTCACTCTCGCTGTCTGAATTGTTTTTTATTTGACTCATTCTTTCCTGCCACAACTTATTTCAGTCTTAATTAGGGGGATGCAGTGAGAGTGACTGGGGAGACTCATGTGTGTGTTTTCTTGTCTCCCTGTCTCTGCACAGCTGCTGTAGACTACCTAGCTAAGAACGTGAGCCTGTCCACTCAGAGGAGGATGAAGCTCGGGGACCACTCGGCGGTGCTCGGGCTGCTGCAGGTGGAGACGGGACAGGCCTACTAGAGCCACGCCTCGCACCCGTTTCTGCCGCCGCGCTCCAGCTTGCTTTTTCAGCCCAGCCATGGCGTCTGAGCGAAGGTCCAACAAGTCCCATCGAGGAATGAAACTAAAACATTCAAACTGCCATCCTTCACAGGGGCGGCTACGTGTCCTTTCCTCCTATTTTTGTTTTGGGGTACCTTTGCCTGCAACTTGTCCAGTTTATTTCTGCCGAGAGGATGGTGGATCCCTCCTGACCCGGACTCCTGGTAGTCATGGCTGCAGTCCAGCAGACATTCAGAGCCAGCAACAACATGTACTTTGGCCTTGCTGTTCATAGTAGTTAACAAAGCAAATACCTTTTTTTGACCAACTCTTCTTCTCATTCCTTTTTTGATATTGTTAAGATTACTGTTGCTGTTCTATGATTCTGGTTAATGTGATTTTCGTTGTTCTTTGATGTCTCTTTTATCTGTTAGATGTGCTTGCGTGTTTTTAACAGAGAGAAAAACGCGTGTCTGTTGCGTGTCGGCACATTCACACAAGAGAGGATGATTGGTTTCCAAGCTGCTGTTCCCCGAGCTCCAGCGCTCGTGAGCGATTTGACCTTCCCACTTTCATATTCCTCCTGACATTCCTAAAGAAACATGGCCACTTGGTGGGAAGTCTGGCTGGATGGATTCTGTGGGGAATTGAAGCAGCGTTTTGGCGGCCGATAGCTTTTCCCTTGTAACCTCCATCCCATCCTCAGCCGTGGTCCGTAGGGATGGGGGAGGGGGGTATTGTTTGCAAAACAGGATTGGGGAAATTAATGCATTTTTAAACGTGGACCTTGCCAAGGAGGGCTAACTGAACCAGTCTTTCTAAATCCCATCTGCCTGGGAATCCTGGGTGACTTAAAGCAGATTAAATCTCACAAATATGAGTCAAAGCTAATTCTCAGTGACCCTTTTCATTACCACATCGTATTTCTAATATTAGCCCATCATTAGGACATTTTGTAAATGCACCTTGGGCTGATTTCCACTTCCCAACAAAATCAAGCATTCCTTTCAAATTGATCCATCTATGAAACACACTAAGAGCATTCCAGCATTTTCCTGAGGAAGGGTTAAAGAGAAGGAAAGTGGCGTCTTTCACATAAACTTGGGACGAGTCAGGCTCAGGCAGCACCACCGACTGGAACCCCCCCCCCACACACACACACACGTACGTTCCCATCAGGACGGAGGACGTGTACGACAACAGGAGCAGACAGCGCTTTTGTTTCTTCATGAAAAGAATGTTTTATACTAAAACAAAGCTGCGTCGGGTGGGAGACAGACCGTAGTTTCTTTAACTGGTTTGATTTCTGTTGGTTTTATTTCAAATGTGTTTGACTGATGAACTCGTTTGAGCCAAACGTTTTGTTTCCAGTTTTGACCCGAAACGAGGACAGATTTGTACAAATTAGTAAAAAAAATAAATGACTGAGTAAAACTCTTAAAGAGGATCAAACCGAGGTGAACTTTCAAAGACTCTCTGGACCAAGTGGTGTACATTTAAAAAAGAAAAACGAGTGTCTGGTCATCACCTGTTGGGAGAACTGGTTTCACAGACTGACCTTTGGTTCAGACCAGGTCTGACTGGATGCTCCGGCACCCTGCGGCTCCAGCGACGGTGCAGCAGCCTCTTCTCATCGGACAAAAGTCACCGATCTTTGATTTGTGGACCAATAAGACTCGAGGAGATCAAAGCAACACTGACTCCGCACTGAATGGCAGCAGTCCTTCGGTGCCACTTAGACACCTCACTTGTGTATATTTTAAAAAGGAAGAATTTTAGAATTGTCTTTAGTGTATTAAATCCATTTATAACACCTGCGTCAATAAAAATTTGGATATTTAAGGCAGACAGCTCCTCCCCCTTCCTCCCGTCTCTTTGACCTTTAACCCATTTAGTTGCTTTCTGACATCTGTGCTTTGCTTTACTCCTGTTTTCCGTTCCGCATGTGTGTATATTATCATGGTATAATTTATTCTGCTGTATGAAGTATTAGAGTAGTGGGAAACTTGTATTGGTATTTACTACCTTCAGCCTGTTGGTGTGTTTAATGTAACACTGGCGTAACTGTTATCAATTAAAGATCCAAAACAGATGTTGCCATTTGTCCCTTTTTTAATTGCCTATCATCATACATATTTATTATTTATTTATTATACATCATAAATAACTTAATAAGATAAAATTTCTTGTTGTATATGTGCCAAAAATTTAGTTTCAGGCAGTTAAAATGTGAAGATTTAGAGTTTTAATAATGTCCAAAGTGTGGTAAGGGGCCATTTGTGGTCCTCTGAGTGATTTCCTGCGGCCCCCAGCTGCTTTTGCAGAATGATGGATTTTTTATCTCCTGTAGACTATTGATTGATCGGCACTTTCCAACATGTTTATGTTTTTACTAATTTACACATGTAGACCTATTTTGAGGAACACATTTTTAAAAGAGGAGAGGAGAGGTCCTACCTCAAGTGGAGGAGTTTAAGTATCTCGGGGTCTTGTTCACGAGTGAGGGTAGGAGGGATCGGGAGATCGACAGGCGGATTGGTTCAGCGTCTGCAGTGATGTGGACGCTGAGCCGATCTGTCGTGGTGAAGAGGGAGCTGAGCCAGAAAGCCAGGCTCTCGATTTACCGGTTGATCTACGTCCCAATCCTCACCTATGGTCATGAGCTTTGGGTAATGACCGAAAGAACGAGATCACAGATACAAGCGGCCGAAATGAGTTTCCTCCGTAGGGTGGCCGGGCTCAGCCTTAGAGATAGGGTGAGGAGCTCGGACATTCGGGAGGGACTCGGAGTAGAACCGCTGCTCCTCCAGATCGAAAGGAGTCCGTTGAGGTGGTTTGGGCATCTGGTCAGGATGCCTCCTGGACGCCTCCCCGGGGAGGTGTTTCGGGCATGTCCTGCCGGCAGGGGGCTCCGGGGTCGACCCAGGACACGTTGGAGAGGTTACATCTCCAATCTGGTCCGGGAACGCCTTGGGGTCCTGTCGGAGGAACTGGTGGAGGTGGCCGGGGAGAGGATGGTCTGGAGCTCCCTAGTTGGGACGCTGCCCCCGCGATCCGGCCCTGGATAAGCAGAGGATGACGACGACGAAGACATTTTTAAAAGGACCATGAAATAATTTTAAATAATTTTTAAAGCTCACTTGTCTCTTAGATGCATTTGCATATTCCTGTATTATAAATGCATGCCTTGTTTGTTTTACTCTGGGGAAAAGAAGGTCTAGCGCTCCTGTTTCAGGAAGTAGAAGTTAGCTGGAGGAGAGGAGAGTAGAAAACGGCAGGATTTGGAGTCTTACTCATTATTATTTCCTGATATTCAGACATCTCACCTCTGATTGGATAACAAACACGACTCTACCACTGACTCTGTTTGCACCGCAACCTTGATGTTTTGTCTCCACAAAAAACGCATGCCTGAAGGAGTTCTGCCATTTTGTGGAGTTGCTAAAACTAACAGTTAGCTTCCACTAGCCGAGACGCGCTCTGCTCTCTCCTGGAGGCTAAACCAACAGTTGTGGCTGTGAGCAAAGGTGGGTGAGTCCGTTAATGCTGATATTCAGTGTGACGTAGCTCTGTAAGGCTTTTTCTGACTGAAGCATTTCCCCGTCTATTTTCTATCAACGGGTAAAGCAGGGAAGAAGGGCATTAGGCTTGTTTCACATTCAGTCTGCATGTGAACTTAAGGGTGACCAATTTTAATTCAGAAATAACAAGTAAGAAACAGTTTCTCCGGAAATCTGCTCTTAAAATAGAAAAAAGGTCACTTTTTTTTGCATGCAGAGACCATTAACTTGATGATTTTGGCCCTCGTCTTGAAAAGTTTGGACACCCCTGATCTAAATTATGAAAAAAAAAACTGATCTCTACAGCAGTGGCAACTCAGAAAAACTATTTTCTGAGTTTCAATAGACAATAAAAAATCTCTTAAGGAAATATTACTGCCAGATTAGTTGCAGCCCTCCCGTGAATTATTCAAAATCAGCCACAAATCATGCATCCCTCTTTACAAAAAGCCGGGTGTGAGTGTAACTTCTCCTTGTGTGTCCACGTGTGTTTGTGGAGTCACTGGGGCATCGTTGACGGTTCGAGCGCTGGTGATGTGATTAGCGAGTGATGGGACCTCAGACGTCAGAGACCCAGAGTGTGTCATCCATCTCTGCAGCTGCAGGAAGTAATTCATTGGGCCAGATGACCAACAGCGCTGCGTTGTCCTACCGCCGGCCGAGGAATGCCGCCTGCAAATCCCTGTGCTATGGTGTGAATGTAGGGGAACTAACCACTACAGTGTGGCAGCGTCCATTGTGTTTTATATTACATGACACAACACTGGAGCAACACTGTCGAACACATCACTCCTGACCAATTTAAGAACATCCCAAACATGCTGGATGTGGCTGCAGCAATAAATTATTTACATAATCCTCTGTAAACGTGTAAAAAAGACAGAATTATTTACAACACAAAAGAATAACTATAAGAATTTATCTGCAATAAAATTCCTGAAATTAAAGGCTTTTAATTATTTTTATTATTTTACCAACTCCTATCAACTTGGACAAATTGAATTGATAAATATTTAAAAAATAATTTCTAATTTCCACATAAAACACAGATGTTGCTGCATGTCAGTCATAAAAATCAAGTTTTCTTTTGGAGTAAATTTAAAACGGCTGACAGTTTTGAACGCTTCCCCTCAGAATGTCCAGTCTGCATTGTTAGGAGTCTCCTTCCTTCCTCTGTCACTTCTCATACACTCCTCTATAAGTTTGTGTTCTGCTTGTCCAGATTAGGCTTTGGCATGTGTTACGGTTGTCCCCTCTGCTGCCGCTTGTCTCCCGAGGTGCCGGTCTGGGAATATTGTCTCCCTCCGGTGTGCTGTCACTCTGGACTGGACGAGGTGGAAGCTCAGGTGGCGGTGTGTGGGAAAGCTTTGTGACACTTCCCTCATCTCCTTCCTTTGATCCCCTAATTGATTGACTACAGGAGCGGAGGATAAACAGAGCCCACAAGAGCCCATTCCACTCGCCGTTCTGGAGTGGTTCAGATAAAGTGTAGAGGCCCGAGTGCTCCGTTCGCCTATACAGACGCACGGGGCCATTGAAGGTGGCTCTGTGTCATGGTGGCTTAGCTGCAGGGCTGCGTCCTCAGGGCCATGGGGGGCTTGCGGACTGCCCAGGAGCATAAATGGCTGGCGGTAATGGGTTTGTTTAGATCACAGGGATGGAAATGAAACTCCTGAGCCTTTTTTCCAGCAGAAACCAGGAGGCCCTATCGCTCAGGAGGCAGCGATAGAGGAGTCACACAACCTCGCCCTGGTCATACTTACTCTCCACCGTGGAATAGACACTGTGATGTTGTTCTAATTTTGGCCTCCTGAACCTCACTGCGGAAGAAAAATACTGAGGCAAGCTTCAAAATGTTTTCATTTGAAAGAAAAACAGTGTTTAAGAGCACAACTTTAGAATAAATTAAACCAGATATGTTAATTATATTCTAATTTTACCAATTTGTCTTCAGAAAGAGTTCAGAGCCGTGTGCAGGTATGCTAAGAAATGATTAAGAGATGCTCTGGGGGTCTTGGTTTTATTATTTGAGATTATGTGTCACAGGGAGTAAAAAGCTCCCAGCTGTCGCCATGAAAGTACTTACAGTATAATAATCCCCCAAATCCTGTAATTATGCCAGCATACGCTGTGTACCTGAGCCTCAGCTTTGTGCTCGTCACCTCGAGGATCCCCCTGACACAGACGCGCAGCTTACTCTGCATATATCTGCTTCCCAACTAGGTATTTTGTGCAAGGAAAGAATCTTATTTCCAGAATATTTCAGGTATTTTGAATTTCATGGTCCCCCCTCTCAGGTATTATAGACAGCTAATCTGTCGTGTATAAGTAAAAAGAGCTCAGATAAGTATTGTTCTAGAGCGGAGTCGTCTGATTTATGAGATCTTCCACCTATATCACATTCAATCTGTTAAGTACAACTTTGTAAGGCCGGACTAGATGTTTGTAACCAATTCAGCAAATGCAAATCTGCACACCTCCTTTGAAGCAGTGTTTTATTTGTATTTTTATTTTCTTTTTTAAAAAAAGCAACTAAAGGAGCAGTAAAAGGAGCCAGAGTAAAGTTGGAAATCTACAAAATCGTAGGGAGATAAAAATCGCTGTGAAGCCGAGCTCAATATAAAATCTGAGCTGCGTTCTCAAACTAATTAATATTAATAACAAAAATGGAAATGAGTGCAGTGGCAGCCCTAAGTGGAGAACAAGCTGGGTGCATTGAGTCAGGAGATTCATATACAAGCCCTTTCTCAGGAGAAGTGGGCTCCAAACATGCGTGACGGCGGGGCATAGACCGCCATACACAGAGACAATTTTTCTAGATAATAGCCTATCACGCAGGATACAATTTAAATTAAAAAATGCAATTTTCACCTTGAAATGAACAAATGATTACAATTTCTATACAAATTAAGGCATCCAGGCTGCGCCTCAGTACTGTGCCAGGGCCATGAAACCTGACATAATTACCATGAAATACATTTTCAAATATTTGTATTTTGTCCACTGCTTTAAAACATGCCACTCTGCCTTCTGTGGGTTTGTGATCTCACCTTCTGGGGGGAAATACATAAAAAAGAGGGAAAATCATCAGAGATGAAAAGCTCTTCAACAGGAGAGATAAAAATGTAGAAGAGAAGAAAAAAACAACCTCCCATACACAGAGTAAATCAGCACAGCGGCCCCCAGAGCTATCTCTAAAAGCCAAATTACTGCTCCTTATCTAAGGAATCATATCTACCAGTTATCTGCTCCTGAGATAGACTACCCCCCCCCCTCCTCTCTTCCTCTTTCTCTCCTTGTGCTCATCGCCAGAAAAGCTATTTATTTGTGATTACAGAGACCCTTTGAATAAAAGATGTTTGTGTTTGAGATCCAAAGTTTGGATGTATTCTGAACTCCTCAGATTCTTCAGAGAGAGGAGACTTATTGAAGGCAGAACACCTTATTTGGGTGAGGCTGCTGGGGGGAGGATGGAAGGGTGTCTTCTGCAGAGAGGGAGAGAGAGAGGGGGGGGATGAAAGTGTAGCCGATG